AGGCAGTGTAAATCACATAGCAGGGGATGGTTATACTCCCAACAGCTTAGTGTCTAAATGGGTATGACAGACATGTAATGCTGTAGCCTAAAAAAGGTTAATGCAGTCCTTGGATGTCCAAACAGAACCATTCCAAGCTGGCTACATGCATTACATTGCCTCTGTACTGGGCTCCAGTGTGCTTGCTATCAGAATATTACGCCGTAAGCATTAGTATGGCATGTACCTACTCCATCATCTGTCCTTAGTGGTGTTTGTTTGTCTGATTGGCTCACATTCTTAATCTGACATTTAGAAGTGACTCATGTCCAAGATAAGTTGGGACACCCTGTACCTAATTCTTCATCTTCAGGTCACACCCAGACTCCAGCCAAATCTTAAGAATCTTGCTGAATAAGAGCTCAGATTAGGGCCTCTCATATTCATCTTCGTAGATAAAACCTGCATCCAGGCTCTAGTGACCTTGAATCTCTGCAGTATTCTTTTCTAAAAATGCAATTTCTCTCTGGTCATGCTCAACTGGAATGCAGCTGCAGAGATCACTCTCTGGCTTGTCACTTAGGCCAGATTGTCCCTGCCTCTTTAATTATCCCTCTGGTTTCATTTCTGCATCAGATCAAACAGAAGCTTCTTGTCTTTACTTGCGTGGCCTGTAGTGACCTATTCCCTCTGTTTTTCCTCTCTTATTCTCCAGTGACATATCAGCTCATCCTTTCCGTCTGCAGGTATCTATGTTCAATCTTCAAGCACTTATGTTTCCTTTTTGTGCTGTCTTTGTCCTTTCCTCAGAAGCATCCCATTAAACTTCTCTCAAAACTCCCTCCAGATCCTCTTTCAAATTCTTCCTTAACCTTTTCCTTGGCTGGGCTGTCTGCAGCTTACTTGTCAATAGTAAAACATTTAGAGTGCTGAGACCACAATTTTCCTTGCTGACCAGGCTTTTCCACAATCAGAGCATCAGAGTGACAGTATAAGCAAAAATAATAATAATAATAATAGAAATAAAATAACAAGAAGTTAGAACATGGCATCATGTAAATTTCCCCCCTCAATTTGAATTTGCTGTATTGCTTATGCTTTAGAGGACAGTAAATGAGGTTTCTGAATGCAGTGTAGGAGCTGATGTTCCCTTTCAGCTACTGAAGTTTTCCCTGTGACCCACTGAGTAATGATGGCATTTCCAGTGGTTTCAGCAGGGAAGCCTCTGTGGGCACCTCTAACTGTCCCCCCAAGGTAAAACCAACATGTGGCAGCAAGGCTGTGATGAAGGAAGGTCACAGCCAAGGTTATGAAGCTCTTTCATGCAACATGGGAGGACTCCAGTCTCCCAGGCATGCTGCCAATGCATCACCTTCAGTTTTGCCGAAATTATCTTGAAGCAGGACCTGAAAAGGCCTGAAGGGGCCAAAGAAGAATGCTGAAATGACATAGTCTCATCTTCATGCAGTTTAGTACTAATTTTGTCCTTTGTCTTTAAGGTGCCTTTTAAGTGCTATTTGTCTCTGTGGGAAGCAAATGGGTCATGTTGTTCTGTGTTTCTACTGTAATACGCTGCCTGCTATTTTTCTTTTAGATTATTTGTGTAATCTTTTTTTATGCAATCTGTTTGTTCTTGAGTCTTGCAAGCTTTGCCTTTGCTACCTCTTTCTCAATAAGCAGTGCAACTTGTTCTGTATCTACTCATGGGTATTCTGCACACAACGGGCTGGGTTATTTCATCCAGTGTGAAAATATTAAAATGGGAAACATGTGTGGGCACTTAATTGTGGTGAATCCAACCACAAATACCTTTGCCGTTGGTAACTGGCACACAGGAAAAGCAGACCTTTGTTTTGTTTTTATCAGACATAATGATAGATGCATTGTTTCTGGTGGGGTTTTTCTGGTTTTCTAAGGAAATGAGGCTTGTGCAATCACACTGCCTGTGTGCATGTGCCTATCTTGTTTGTCAGTTCCTCCCTCACCAACAACTCTTGAAACTAATAGCCATTTTCAGCCAAACCTGAGTAAGACATGGGAGTCGGGAGAAGCAACCTGGCTTTATAGAAGACTTTTGAGTTCACAGGTTGCACCAAAGTCTGCAGAAGTTGCTGTCTTTAACAGCTGCATTGCTGCAAACCATCAGTTATGTATTCACGCGTGTGCCTTTGCATGGATCCAGAAGCCCAACTGTAAGCTCCCAGATTTGAATATTTTGGTTTACTTGCTCTCATCCTTCGGGCGAGTGAGTCAGTTGGTGGTGTTGCTAGGCACAGAGCTTGTGTTTTGATTCTCATTGGAGTGGCCATGTCTCATGAAAAACATTGTTTGCTCCAGGCCACAGCACTACAATTTGCATATAAACTTATGAAAAAGGAAGCTTTCTTTAAGCTTTCCTGTGTGAGGGTTTACAGTAGCATTTCTGTCCGAGTACATAACAGCAGAAGCTGGACTTCTCATAAATGTAGATGGGTTAAGTCTGTCGCTGCCTGAATGGGAATCTTCTGTGGAAAAACCCAGAAAGAGGAAGGAAAGCCTAAGGAAATACCAACTTCAAGGGGAGAAGTTGGCTGAGATGTGTGTTGTGCTGCTCTTTGGTTTGTACCTGGCCACCAGCAGTGAAGCTGGGGAATGCCTGAGAGGTGTGCAGGAATGTAGCCTCAGGGCACCTTTCTGAGGCAGAGAAGATGTCTTTATGCCCTTCACTCAAAGGGAGGACAGAGGTGCAAAGGTGCTGAGCGGTTTGCCAGGGATTACAGGAGTACATGCCTAAGCTAGGAAAGAAACAGACCATGATTTCCTGATGTGAGAAGTGCAGCCAGAAGTATGATCTACGTATAGACAGCTTCTGCAGCGAGCGCCTTGGTCGAGGGGGACGTAAACATTGAAGTATGTGAGAGTGGCTAAATTATGAATGTGAGGAGGAGGGAAGAAAAGATTCCCACATGTTCTGCTCAGATGTTAACAAAGAAAGCTGAGAAGTGTTTGCATAGACACTGCATTATTCTGTGTCCAAATGCCTCATAAAAATAATACCGGATGATCACAGAATGGCACACCAGGGAAAATAAATTCTTCAGCGGAATATTCCCGCTGGAAAAACACTGTGTAAAGTAATACACTAATAGCTTTCAATTTCATGTTTTATATATGGAGATATTAACTGCTCCCCAGACGTCTGTTCATATTACAGCCCCGCTACACGAGCAGTTTGGAGAAGGCCCTGGAGCGACTTGGTCTTGTCCACGCAGAGGACCGAGCAGTGCTCTATTGCACATGCAACTCCTATTTCTTCTGCCTCTTTCCCACAGAAGTACTGCTCCGATGGTTCTCTCCAGAGGGATTTTTATTTTTATTTTTATTTTTATTTTTATTTTTCCTAGTTCTCGTGTTTTTTTCCATTCTTCCCCCATGCTCTGTAGCCTCATCACCATGCTGGGAAGCCTGCATTCCTTCTCCGCTTGTAAAAGAGGAGCCCTCACAAGAAGCATTACAGTGGAGTGATTAAAGCACAACACTGTCAAAACACTAATAACAAATGCTAAATAAATTAAAGCTTAAAAACAACATCTATTAATTTCTATTTGGAGGAGGTTCCAGGCTTGTCTTCATTTGCCTGGTAGCTCTCTCCACATTGCTCAGACAAGGTATGTATAGGATCTTGCCACGTAGGAAAGAAGCTCGTATGTTGTTCCCTGGGTATAGCCTGCTGAAGGCTGGGGCAGGCAGGGAAGAAGGTGTGAGGACGTGTGCTGGAAGATGTCCCACTGCTCAGAAGCCCTGTGGTTGGAACAATAGGACTGGTGCAAGACCTTTTAGGAAGTTTTGCAGTATTTGTTTGGAATAGTCAGTAAGCACAGGCTGTAGTGTGAAAGAGCATTGTATCATTGCTGAATTACTTAATCATTACTAGGTACATATTACTCGTGTGTGTTTTTATGAGTAATTCTGTCTGCCTGCTCTCAGATGAGCTCTAGTCTTCCTTCCCTCCTTCTTGCTTTTCATCATCCCCTCTACCCCACCCACTGAGGAGGGATGCAGGGTCCCATGGCTGGAGGCTCTGCTACATAATGTTTTCAGCAACAAGGTAAACAAGGCAGCAAGCCTCCTATGTGTGCTCCTGCAGGTTTCTTCTGTTATGTTTTTGTTTGCATGTTGCACTAGGGACCTTTCTCAGAAACAACTGGAGTTCTTAGGACTTGCCTTTACCCTTGTTAGTAGCTTCTGATACGCTTTTCTTGAATTACGATAAGAATCAAGTATTTGCACATCAGTTTTTGAGAAATGGCTTTAGTCTTTGAATGGATAGCATCTTAGTCAATATTAATCTTCAAACACAAAAAAGTCACTTTTCCACATAAAAGATGGTATTGCACTTTTTGTCATCACTAAGACTGGCTACTACTTGTTGTTTAAAATACAAACTAGCTCAGCACCAGCGCATTAACAAGAGCATAAGGATTGATGCTGCTATACTGGTAAAAGCATAAAAAGTAAAATCCTTTTGCCAGCATAATTGGCTCTATTGAGACAATTGGTTTAAGCTGAACAAGCAAAAAGAACTCTTTAAATGGTAAAAATTGTGCTGCCACGAGGCAGCTTGATGAGGCATCCCACCACAAAATCCTTTCATGTGGAGGCAAGGCTTTCAGCACAGGTTCATGCCATCTAGCTGAGTAGCTGCGAGTGACTATATAGTTATGTTAGATGGTAAGTGAATGCTTTGCATCTGGGAGACTTAGGCTCCTTATGATGGTTGCCAGCCTGAGGCACCAGCAGTAAGGAATTCAGTGTAGTTTTGGGGGCCAGTTTCAAGCTTCTCTAGATCATTCCGTGAGGGGTAGCAGTGGAGTGTGTTTCAATGTGCTGGATCATTGCCAGCAATGGCATCAGTTGCCCCTGTGCTGACTGAGCTGCCGTGTTCCTGCTGCCTACTGTGCGATGGAAGCATACAGGAGTACTTTCTCCCCAGCGAAAGATGGGAGCTTGCACTGACCCATGTTCCTTCCTTCTGGTGACAGGCCGCTGTGCTCGCTGTGGGGAGAATGTTGTTGGGGAAGGCACTGGCTGCACAGCCATGGACCAGGTCTTCCACGTGGAGTGCTTCACCTGCATGATGTGCAAGAACAAGCTGAGGGGGCAGCCTTTCTACGCAGTAGAGAAGAAAGCCTACTGTGAACCCTGCTATATTGTAAGTACTTGCGGGGTTTTTGTCCGCTCGTTTTTTACATGCAGACATCACAAATATTTGTTTTCTTCATTGTTGAACTGTTGCCTTATAGCCAAAACCAGGCAATCTCATGGTAAGCTGATGGGCACTAGTTTTCCATGGTCTTCAGAGGCATTCACATCACTTCAGCTTCCTTTGTTAACTTCATTTTCTGTTCTGTCCAAGCTGTTGAATGAAGTGGCCAAAGCAAGAGAAATAGGTGCTTTTGGTGATTATTTGAGCTCTGAAAGGAGCAGGCAATGCAGTGATTTTTAAGGGAAGGTGTTATTCTGATAAGGTTTTTTGTGTTCAGAAATCTGTTATCAAAACCCTTAGAAATGTTGGTGCCCCCTAAAATGTAGAAGATGAAATTCAAGGTGGCACTTAAACTTCTGGAATAGCGACTTCTGTGTTTCTTAATGAAGCTAATGGAAGTCTTTCCACTGATTTAACAGCAGTTGGATTGAGTATCTTTTGAAGCTTACCTTATCCTAAAATTTCACTTTATGCCTCCAACGAGCTCCTAAATCAAACAATTAACTGCACCTTTTAAGAGGCTCCCATAAGAAACAGTTAAAACCTGTTGTACAGTTGTAAATTAAAGAAACATCACATAGTGTGCCTGAGGCCTTACCTTGCTGTGACCTTAACATACAGTATGTTGGGAAAACATTATAATCTAGAATAAGAAAAGTTCCAGAACATTCTTAACACATTGATGGATCTTCCTTTAAACCTCGGAGTTAGAGTCCTTTTCATAAACTATTGATTTTCTTGCCCACTGTTAAATGAAGCTTATTTTAAACTGAAATCTAGTTTAAAGTTGGTAACTATAGCATGCACGTTCTTCCTCTATGTATTTTCCTGCAAAATTTTGTGAAAGCCAATGTACCACCAGTATGCTGCATAGCATCTTTTATTTACCCAGATGGTGGAGTTTCATTTGTTTGTTTTTGGGGGGATGAAATGGACTTGAGGCCCTTCCATAATTAGACCTTATTTTTGAAAGCAGAAATTTCTGGTATGCTGATAATTAAAGAAAGAATAGATATTTCTGAAAATGCTACTGCTATCTAACTGTTTCATTCTATTTTGGTGAAGGCTTTTCAGTGGGATTATTGCTGAAATACTGAATATAAAAAGGGGCAGAATTTGTCTTTTTGTAGCAGTGATAAGTGAGTCATGGTAATTGACTTTTAAAACCTAAATGATTTTTTGATTGAAAAATATACCCCTTAAACATTATTTTCTTTTTTTTTTTCTTTTTTCTTTTTTCTTTTTTGTTAGCACTATAATGATTGTATGATAAAAATTCTGATATCTTAGGAAGCTGGTGCCCATGTGCAAAGCACTGCAGATTTCAGGAAGGTGTGTTCATAATGGGAGGGGAGCATCTTCATACAACGTTAAACATCTCACTCACTTCAGGATGGAATTGACTTCATCTGCTTGCTGATTGATGCTTTTCCTCTTTTTCAAATCAAGCAGGCATTCTTCACTACTCATCTGCGTTAGTTTAGGAAAACATCTGCATTAGCCACTGTAGTAATGGTTTAAGATTATTTAATCCCATTACTTATACACTTCATTAGCCTGAGTGAATTGTTGGCAAGGATTCAGTAAACTTCCTACATTGGGAGATAAAAGGATAAAAAAAAAAAAAAAAGGAAAGGAAGAAGGATTCTGGTCCTCATTTTCTTTCAAATTTATCTTCTATCTATTTAGGGGATAAAGGAATGATAATTGCCTGGTTGCATCTGTGTTTGTATGTTCCACGATACGGCTTTGCAGCTCTGAGTACAGAGCAATGAGTAAACGTTTAATAGCTTTCTCTTATATAATCAGAGGAGGCCTTTAAATGCTTACCAATGCAATCCACAAAGAAAAAAAAAAAAGGTTATGGACTTCACCCAAAACACTTCTGAATCCATCTGCTGCTGCACATGTAGGGGAAAGGGTGGCCCTACTGATAAGTTGCTACATATGTGTAGCATGACAGCTAGTACTGTGAGTGGGGAAAGGAAAGGAGGAATCTGGCAATCTGGTGGAACAAGAATAACTAACCCAAGCAAACACCAGACTATTACTCCTGGAAGAAGCAAGTGTTGGGTGACTGTCTTGTTACCCCTCAGACAGCTTGGTGCTTTGCTCTGCTGAAGGTCAGATTTGTGAAGGGTTTGAGCCCTGCCTACTTAGGCTCAAAGAAATCTGTGTTGGAGCTCTGTCTGATGGATTCTTCAATGAAACGATGTCTGTGTTGGCTTCAGTGGGATGGCGAGTGCCTGAGTGCACTGAGGGCCCAGACTGAGTTTGCAGGTTGCTCTTGCAAATGGACGTGGGGCCCTTAAATTGCTGGGGCATGGTCTGAGTGGTGTTGTTTTCAGATGTGTGATGCTGTCATACTGAAGCCAATTAGAATTAATCACCTGCCTAGAGTGTAACTTGCGTTTAAGGATTTTGCCTCTAATTCGGTTTTTTGAGTTTTCTCAAATCTCACTCTCAGAAAATAACCTGGAAATGTAGAGTTCTGAATAAAATAATGGGGTTGAAGATCCCAGACTCAGGTTCCTGTGTGCCTGAATCCCCATGGAACATAGGAAACGCATGACTGCCTTGAGACAGTGCAGTGAGCCAGTGGCTGTGGCGAGCTCTGGAAACAGGATTCTGTACTGGTATACATGTGAGTTAATTGATGATGCTTATTTACTGGTCTGCCTAATTCAGACCAATTTCTACCTCTCATCTCTACCTCCACATGTTCAAAACTTTTGACCTGCTGTGCAGACCGCTAGGCCAAGCTGCTGCATTAATATTAAAGGAAGTCAGCTCCAATTAATTTGCCTGGTCTTGGTGTATAAATTCATGAATTCTTGTTTTTAATAATTCCCTTGTGTGACTCATGGCCATACGCACATTGAAAAACAATGCAAAAATAAAAATACACTTTTTTCAACAATTAGAATTGGCTAATCTTCTTAGTTTGTTACATGACTCTCCTTAGATGTGGTGGAGTGAAGACATAATTAAGATTACTGTGAAGAGCTGTGTTTAATTAGTATTTAGTCAATACCAGGCTTAAATAGCCTGCAGAAGTGTTGTTTCTTGCTTTTGTTTCTGATGTCATTAGTGATCCATTAAAGAAGAAATTCTGCAGAAGTCTGTGGATTAATATCAAAGGAAGTCAGTCACCTGTCTGAAGATGTTTACTGACTGGAATTTCAATACCAGAGTTCATTTCTTTCATAAAAAAAATTTCCCCTACCCAAAGGCTGGTCACTATCATTTCCTTATGAATGCTGTGAGATCTGCTGCCAGTGTGTTTGCTGGTTTTGCTCTACATCCAAGGATTCTTTCATTATTAATGTTATTTCTAAAAGAGTACCAGTCTTCTCCATTAAAACGCTTCTGCTCCTGCTCAACTAAAAGCAACTGTAAAAAAAATAAAGTGTTAATAGGAAGCAGATGTCTCCTAGTCATTACGACAGTCAAGCAACATCTGAAATATCACAATGGGGTTTCCATTGTAACCAGCTCACTGCTGTACATGTGATGAATGCAGTGTCTGTAATGTGTTATCAGTATACTTTTCCCCTCCCTTACAGGACAAATTACTGACCAAAAAAAGAAAACACATTTGGTTTGCTTCCTCTAAAAAGCTGAAGAGATTTTAGCACTGGGTTCAGTGTAGAGAAAAGGTTAAGAGTAACATCAGTGGAACTGTTGTTATAAAAGATTGAAGAGCACAATGTTAGAGCAATGCCAGCTGTCCACTTTCCAAATACAGTGTTATCATAAGGACTGAACACAAGGTTAACCAGACACACCAGTTTGGCAAGGGTGATGCTGCTGTTTTGTGAATGGGGTGTTCTCTGATGTCCTGCTGACTTTCTCCAGGACATGGAAATTTCCTTCTGTTCTTTCTCCCCTTTCCTGGCGGTTCGGTGTTTGACAGTGGGAGATAAACTCCCTATGAGGTTGAAGGCTGAGAGGTGCTGAGCACCTGCACTTAGCACAGAAAGCAGCAAGATCTGGCAGATGTTCTTGGTGACTTATTTCTTCTGCCATGTCTGAGTCAATGCAACCCACTGCTGGACCTGAGGGAAGTGTCACAGTGTGAAGGAGATGAGGAAGCAGAAATAGCCGTGGTCAGATGAAAAGGAGTTCAGAGAAGTTGTGGGCTGAAAATGAGGAGCGATTGAAGAAGGGAGAAACCGTGACTCATGCCTGTCTGCCTAAAGCAGGAGAAGACAGAGGGTGTGCTCTGCAATTTCATTTGGAAACCCAGGGAAGGAGATCCACTGTTTCTGTGGCACAGTGAGAGATACTGAGAGTATAACCTTACACCAGCCCCGGAGATCACTGTATGAGGTTCATCTTTCCATGGCAGTGAAATGGTGGGAGTGCTTAAAAGGGCCAGAATTTTGCATGACCGAGCACCCTGACCACTGCTGTTCTCCAGCTTTAAACACAAGATTGTAGCACTCCACTTCTTTCACTAGTTGTGTATTTTTGCACACAAAAGAAGTAAAAAGAGGCAGAAACCTTGAAAATATTAACTTTAGCTTTCTGGCCTATCAGAAGTGTAGTTCAGTAGAAGAGTGGATATTAGGGGGAACTTCTCCAAAAGAGCAGTTGGGCACTGGCACAGGCTGCCCAGAGAGGTGGAGTCACTGTTCCTGAAGGTGTTCAAGAACCTTGGTGGAGATGTGGCACCCAGTGGGGGTGGGTTGGGGTTGGGCTTAGATGATCTTAGTGGTCTTTTCCAACTTTCATGATTGTATGAAATGCTGATATTTCAGGAAATAGGACAGCTAGAGCCAGTGGAACCACGGAGCATGCTGGAAAAGCTTAAATTTGCTGATCATTGGGCAATTTCAGTGTTAAATCAATTTGTGCTCGTGGAAATCTTTGGTAAATATTGCTACTGGCTTTAGTGCACATCTGGTGCTGTAAACCTCACCCAGTGTGCACACGAGTGTGGC